ACCAAAATCAAACTTTTCAGCGTATGCTTGGCAGACCATTAAAAGAATTACATCATGCTCTGAAAATAGAGGCCTAAAGTTAATTTTGATGTTTCATCAGTGCACTCATCAGATTAATTAACCTCTCTGTGTTTAATGTCCTTAGCAAGAAAATATATATTTTAAAACAGAAATTTATATATATTTTTTAAACACTTATGGAAACCGGACAGCGATTGTGGGACTGCAATTGATGTTTCGACAATCGACAATGCATGATATGAATTTATGATACAATTGTTTAGTGTTTAATGGCATTAAGGCCTGAATTTTAATAATGTGACTACATAAAATACTATAAAGTTTGATACAGTTGAATGGTTACATTGGAAATATCTTACAGTGAAAATTGCTTTATAATATTCAAAAACAAATAACATTGATTTTCATACACTCTATTATTAAAATGTGACTTCTATTAGCTTTATTACTGTATATACAGTGCTTAGCATAAATGAGAACAATGCCTTTTGAAAATCAATATTTTCAATATTTTGTAGAGAACAACAGTACATTTTAAAAATTACAAACAAAATTTCAGTAATTTTTTAAAATATTTTTAAGTCCCTCTTGATATTTCCTTATCTATTATAAAAACAAATTAAAAATAAAAATAAAAAAAACATTTTTTAATAATATTATTTGTGCCCAAAAAATTTGTGCCCAAAATCTCAAAAATCAAACATAGTACAAAGTTTGATGTACTAATTTTTGAACTGTAATCGTAAGTTTTTTTTGTTAGATTAGTTTCAGTTTTGTCTTTGGTACTGACTAATCTATTGTGTGGGCCAAATATATTATAGTAGAGCAACATAAAAAGATATTAATATTAAAACAGATCTGTAAGAGATGTACTCATTTACACTGAACAATAAATTACTAAAACATTACACTTTTTTTGTAGAATGCTTAAACGTTTGCACAGTGCAATAATGTTTTTATTTTTGTTTATTTTTAACCACACATGTTATTTATCAATTTATCAATCAATTTATCAATCTAAACTTTTGCATAAGACTGTGGGTTTATAAATAAATAAATAAATAAATAAATAAATGGTAACATTTTAGTTTATAATAATAATTCCTTACATTTATATAGAGCTTTTCTGGGCACTTAAAGCGCTTTACACAGTGGGGGGAATCTCCTCATCTACCTCCAGTGTGCAGCATCCACCTGGATGACGCGACGGCAGCCATTTTGCGCCAGACCGCACACCACACACCAGCTGATTGGTGGAGAGGAGACAGTGATGCAGCCAATTGAATATGGGGATGGTTAGGAGGCCATGATGGACAAAGGCCAGTGGGCAGATTTAAACCCCTACTCTTTTCAAAGGACATCCTGGGATTTTTAACGACCACAGAGAGTCAGGACCTCGGTTTAACGTCTCATCCGAAAGACGGCGCTCACTGAGCAGTATAGCGTCCCCGTCACTATACTGGGGCATTAGGACCCACACAGACCGCAGGTTGGGCACCCCCTGCTGGCCTCACTAACACCACTTCCGGCAGCAACCAAGCTTTCCCATGTGGTCTCCCATCCAGGTACTGACCGGGCGCAGCCCTGCTTAGCTTCAGTGGGCGACCATGTGAGAGTTGCAGAGAGCTAGCTGCTGGCTTTAAGTAACAAATCACACCACTTACAACTGGCTTATTACCTGCCTATTAGAAATACATAACCGTTTATCTCAATTGTCAAAACTGTTAGCTGAAACTTCAGAACTTTATTGCATGTCTACAAAATGTACAACCCCAAAATCAGAAAAGGTTGGAAAAATATGGAAAGCGCTAATATTTTTCATTTTATTTTGACTTGTATTTCATTGCAGACAGTACAACAAACATTATTTAATGTGTTCCCCGTGGTTTTTATTATTATTGTTATTTTATTTTTAAATAAACATGGATTCTAATATTGGTTCTTGCAACACGTTTGAAAAAAAATTGGAACATTAAATTATTTACCACTTTGTAATGTTGTCATTCCTTTAGCACTTAAAAGATGTTTAGGGACTGAATACACCAAGTGAACTGTTACAGGTGTAATTTTGTATCATTCTTCCTGCAAGCAAGTCTCGAGGTGAGCATCAGTACGAGGATGTTGTTGTTGCATGTTGCACTTCAAAATATGCCAAACATTCTCTATTGGAGACAGGTCGGGACTAAAGACAGCCGTCATATACCTGTATCCTCTTACTCCACTTCCTCTTCCTGACAACTTAATACCATGAAAGACCCTGGCTTTTGAACTTGTTGCTGTTAACAGTCTGGATGATGTTTTTCTTCTTTGTTTTTACACAGCGTTCATTTCTCCCCAAAAATACTGATTCATCTGATCACGGTACACTTTCTATTGTGTGATGGTTTATCCCAGATGTCTACAAGACTGTTGGCGTTTCTGGACACTGTTAACATAGGGCTTCCTTTTGGCAAAGTACAGTTTTAACTAGCATTTGTAGATTTAACTACGTATTGTAGTATTTGACAAAGGTTTGCAAAAGAAGTCATGAGCCCATGTAGTGATATCGCTTGTATGTGATTGACGATTCTTGACACAGTTCCACCAGAGTAATTAGAGATCAAGGTAGTTCAGTTTAGGCTTGTGCCTTTGTCCTTTATGCACTAAAATTACTGCAAATTCCTTACATTTTTTAATTATGTTATGCACTGTTGAAGGTGAAATATCTAAATGTCTTCCTGTCATTCTTTGAGAAACACTGTTTTTAGACATTGCAATAATTTTCTTACATATTTGTTGGCAAACTGGTAATCCCTAACCCGTCTGCTTCAAAAGGACTAGACTCCTATTGGATGCTGGTTTTGTACCAAATCATAATTAGAAGCACCTGTTGACATCACCTGTTTCAAATTACATCATTATTTAACCAATTTACCTGATTACTAGCCCTAAATTGCTCCTGAACTTTTTTTGGAAAGTGTTGCTATACTCTGAATGTCAGGAAGTGATGTATATTTACATATGAAATGAGGTTGACCAGAGAAAACATTAAATATTTTGTGCTTATATTGTGTGCTTTTTTATTTGCATTTTCCATACTGTCTCAACCTTTTATGTGGGGTTACTCACAAAAAAAAAAATGTCATTTATGCTTCAAAACCTAGTATCGTGTCAAAAATTTGGCCAAGGTCACCAAAACATAAAGTATGTTTGTCATCGTGTGAGCCACACTGGTCAAAATGTTTAGTTGTATTTCACCATGACACTCAAGTCAACCATGGAAATTAAGGTTTAAAAAACTATATTTGTTTAGAGTAGTCAACAGTACATAGAATAATACTAAAAAAAACATTTGTATACTGTACATTATATTTGTAAGAGCGTAATTACAGTATTGTACATATTCCTTATGTTACCACAAAAATCAGTCAGTCAGGCTAGAGATTACATATTTTTCAATTGCTCTTCCATTATCATGTTGCTGCAGTTTAGGATTGTGGATGTTCTCCATTCTCAAAAAACAAACAAACGAAAAAAAAAAAAAAAGGATTTGCACAACTGGAAACGTTTTGATCCACTTTAAATGTTGACTACTATATATCTTCCCAGACTAGATAGGTTAAATCATTCATTTAAATTGTATTACAATTAGAACAGTTTTAGCAACATTACAAACAATGTCAAAATCATGTTTGATAACAGAATGAATGTTTTTGAGGGTGATGGCTTACATAATAAAAAATGATTGAAAAGTTGTGAGTTTGACAGTTTAAATAAGACTCGACTAATCAGTTTTGATCAACTAGCAATATTCAATTAGTTTTTTATCCAAACTACTGACAATTGTGCTTACAGATGCACAAATGTCAGTGACTTTGTAATTTGCTCAAATTAGCAAGTAATTCCATTCTGATGTGAAGAAGAAATATTGTTCAGAGATCTTAACTTATTGTTTTAAAAAACAAAATAATAATAAATAATTCAAAAACTGGGCCAAAGCAATTACAAAAAATTGTAACAGTTTATTAGCACTTTTAAAATATGGTCTCAATTTAAATCCATAAACCTTAAAACTCAACTACTACTTTATTAACTATTAATAAGCAGCTAAAAAGTAGTGTAGTAGGCTAAACGTCTTAGTTAATGGTTTATTAGTAGCATGAATTGTACATTAAACTAGTTGTGACCAAATAAATAAATACAGGTTTTATGCTAACTTTATACATTTGATAATTACTGTTTGAAACATATAAACCCTCAAATTGTTTCAAAACTTCATTACTTTCTGTATTCTGCTTAACATAAAAGAAAATATTTTGAAGACAGCTAGTAATCAAAATATTTCCAGTCCCATCAAAATGTGTTTATGTTATTATACACACACACACACACACACACACACACACACACACACACACACACACACACACATATATATATATATATATATATATATATATATATATATATATATATATATATATAATCACATTTTAACACATTTCTAAACAATAGTTTTATTAACTCATTTCTAATAACTGATTTATTGAGTTATTATATACTGATGGTTTGTTCTGTAGACTGTAGAAAAACAAAAAACTTAAAGGAGCTAATAATTTGGACCTTAAAATGGTGTTTAATAAATTAAAAACAGCTTTTATGCTAGCCGAAATAAAACAAATAAGACTTTCTCCAGAAGAAAAATATTATCAGACATACTGTGAAAATTTCTTTGCTCTGTTAAACATAATTTGGGAAATATTTAAAAAAGAAAAAAAATTCAAAGGGGGAGTATAAAAAGGAGTTTTCGTTTACAGTCATCCACGTTCTTAAAAAATGTCTTCTTTTGAAACCTTTACAGGTGTGAGACTACATAAGAGTGAGAAAATCACTTTATTTACCTTAAATAAGTAAATATACAAACAAACTGACTACACAAACATATAAAGAAACATATTAAAAAATAAAAATAAATAAATAAAAACATTCCTGTTTTTACAATTGTTTTTACAGTTTACCAAACCTTATTACCTATTTATCAATCAGTTTAAACAATTGCCAACAAGAAATGCTCACGACAGTCAGTCAAAATGAAAGGAAATTCCTGTCAATAAATATTACTGACCAAACCATCCCTAGGTGTGCAAGTCCACCTTTCCACCATCTTTCCTGTCTTTTTTCAACACAAGCAGCAACTTCACCTAAGAAGAATTCACTCTGTGTCTGTGGAATATTCCATATCGCGAGAGGGGGGCTACAGTACCTATCACAACCACAACTCTCAATAAAGACCAAATGCACAATTCCTCGGTGAAAAACTACACTACCTTAAATTTCCACTTTCACTTTGAAAGGAAGTAAACATTTTGTCGGGTCTTAGTGTGTGGTGTCATTTGTGAAAGCAGAAACCGAACATCCCTCTCGGAGTTTTAGTTCAACCTGCAGAATTTTAGGCAAAATGGCGACATTGTAACGGATGGAGGACGAAAAAAAAAGGACCGTAATCAAGTACCATGACAAACTTGCCCCGTGTTATAGTGTCATTATCTGGGAAGGTAGGTTTAAAGCTTACGAACGTCTTCCCTTGCCGGATGTGTGTTTAACCGTGTTGAGAGATGAGAGCGCGATGGGTACAGTGAGTCCTTGCACGGGCACGAGAGCTAATGTACACGGGCATCAGGTATGTCAACACACCGTGCAAGTCACGAATCCTGCAAACTAACATTTCACCCTTCCGTTGTCATATACGCTATAACTCTAAACAGTATTGTATTTGGGGGAAAGTTGGACGCTCTTCTGCATCTGAGGAGCGCACTTGCGAGGTTTTTCGTTTTCACCCTGCAACACACTTTATACACACTTTTACAAGATGGGTGTCAGAATCGATGCAAAGCGACGTCAGTCACCGGATGAGACGAGCCGTTTTCCATGTCAGCTGGGAGTTTTGTGTCGCGGCCTCTAGTCGCGGGTTTGACACTTGAAGAGCGCAGACGCGTTTAGACGCTCGTCTTGAAGGCGCTTGGCGCGACCTTGATTGGATGGAATCTGTGCGCAACGCGTTTGCGCATCGTGGCAAACAAACATCCCGACAGCCTATTGCTTTCTGTTGGAAATCTCAGTCGATCGTTTTGAATGGTGTTTAAAAATAGGCCCTTTTAAATGATTTGTGTTAGCCACAGAACTTTTAATGGCTGTAAAACGCACATTTTATGGCGTGAATGAAATCACTGAGTGACATAATAGCATATCTCTCACAGGCTGTCCACTTACACATGATTTTGATAAATCTTACTTTACATCCATTAGTTTTAGCAGATGCACAAACTCTGTTCTGCTGCATGACAACTTTTTGTGGCAAACTAAGATCCTGCTTTAACCTTTTTTTCTGTCCTAGATCTTTGCCAGCCATGTCAAGAATCAGTGTTTTCTTTTGCTCACTAGTCAAAATGTTGACTTGAAAGAATTTGACTTGTCAGCTGTATCTCACAGGCTGTCAACCAACACTTAAAAGTCACTTTTGAGTGTTTATTTAAAAAATGTAAATACATTGGATAATGTCTGTTTTATTGGACTTTAGCACACTTGTAATTTGGCCTTAAGCATGATGCTTCAGGTTAAAAGCAGTATTGCTGATGTTCAGAAGAATATCACAGTTGTCAAGAGATGATAACGTTTCTGATTTACTGATTTTTTTCCTCTTTAGATACCTAGTAATTAATTTTACTTTTGACAAAAATAGGCAATAGCAGATGTCAAACGAAAGGCTTGCTGTTTAGATTATTATCTTGGTGTGTCTGTGGTTATTGTAGAAGTATAACTAAACCTCTGATTGTGTTAATACTTAATTTTATTCAATGTTTTGTGTTTTCATAGGCGCTAAGTACCATTTTTTAATGTTTGGATCAGGTCACTAGTTCTTTAAAACTTTGCTTTCCATTCTTATTTATCTAAAGCATAGCTTCACAAAAAGGCTTTTCATAATGCACTTAAGTGGTTAGTTCACCCACAGATGAAAATTATGTTATTAAATACTCACCCTCATAAGATTTTTTTATATATTTTATATTATTAATATTAAGATATTTGGAATTTTCTTTAAGTCTAGAAAAGTAACAAAAAATATCCTCTGTACAGACCATATGCCTTCAGTGGTTTATCAGAGTATTATCAATCTACAAGAATGTTTTTGCACACATAAAACCAAAATAAACTACTTTATTCATTCAACTTTCTTCTTTTTCTCATTGTCAGTATAGGGCACATGCTTTCATGAGTACAGTGGAGTGACATACAGTACCTCTTCGGATGCCCATGCTCCTTTGTTTGAAGCACACATGCATCCAAGGTAATATGTTAGCAGCATAGTCAAGCACAACACATGAATATGCACCCTATACTGACACTGAGAAGATAAAGCTGTTCAATAAATTTCTTATTTTTGTTTTATGTGTGCACAAAAGTATGATAATATTCTAAATGGCAGTCTGCAGGCATATGGTCTGTTTTTAGAATGTGTGTGATGTTGTAGGGGGTGAGTCTGGAATTTGTAAAAGGGCTTAAATAGTTGCCCTTTAAATTCTAAATCTTATTTTATTAGCCCAGAAAAATATCTATTATCTGTATATTTAATTATGATCATTACATAAATGAAAATATTTGTTTTAAGTTGCTGATAAAATATAATTAACCCAAAAATATAATTATCGCAACATTTAAGAACAATAATGAATATTTCATACTGTATTTTCACAGTAACGTGCACCCTTACTTTTTATAGGCATGATAAGTCTAATAGGGCCCAGTAAATAGGGTCAGAGGTTTTAGTTACTGTGCGAGAGGTGAAGGATTTTACTGGCTCTTTTAAATTAACATATTTAATTAAATTTCATGTTTCATGCTCTCAGAATACCAGTGAGCTGTGTAATACACTGTAAAAAATCTGTTAATTAACAGTTCCCTTATTTTGTGATTCACAAGTGTTTTCCATTTATGTACGGTTGTGAATTGCATTATAATTTCTGCTCTGTCGACATATGATGTTGAAAATTCAATAATTTGTCTAACTGTTTGTCAACAGATTGACAAAGTGACTTATTGATACTTAAGTATTTTGAAATAATATAATGTATAATAAATAATATATAGAGAAATAAGTCTGTAAAATTATGAAAATGTACCAACAGTTTATTACAAGGTTTTTGTAACGTAATATAGAACACCAACCCAGACAATATATCACATTAAACTATTAAAAAATTATAATAAAAGTAACTTTTTTCACACTTTCAAGGTTAAAAGTTATTGAAATAAAATGTAAGTTCTCATAATAGAATTCAAAAGCATAAATAAATGGGGAAAATAACAAATTGACATGAATCACATGAATCACAAAATTCAGAAAACTGCTTACTTGCAGATATTTTTTACAGTGTAATGAACATTTCAAAAAGTCAGTAAACTTAGTTAATTCAGTCGGATGTGGAACTGAATATAATATAATCTACTGTTACATCAGAAATTTAAAAGAAAACAAAAGAAATATATATTACGGAGCATAACTGAGGAAGGTCATGAAGACTCATACACACGTAACCCGCAAACTAAACTAAACTGCACAATTGGACCCTGTAAAGATAGATTACATGGCGTGACTAAGTAAACGAATTTCTCTGGGCAGTTTCCCACAAATTGATTATGTGTCATTCAGCAAGGTCAAATATTTGCTCTGAGACGCATTTCTGGAATGTGCAGAATGATAAAAATTGGTCCCATCTTCCCTGTTTTTGCTGGGCTCCCAGTTCGCAGTGTTCTAAATGAAGACACAGGGGACTGTTTTAATGGAAGTACACTGGCCTGAATTAGCAAGCCAGCACTACTGCAGCTGGGCCGGAGAGATATTTCAGTAAGCTGTTGATCTAGCCAGAACATTGAGACCCGCATAAATCTATTAGAGGAAGAGGCCAACAGAGAGAGAGAGAGGCCTATTTATCCTCTGCTATGCTCTGACTATTAGCTGCTCATTCCATATCATTTAACCTTCAGCATGACCTCTCATTACAGCCACCAGTCATAAGTATATTGGGACGTAATGAAGTCTATTACTTAAATGAGATGTTAACCTTAATGTTTAAGAAGCTGCTTTTTGGTGACTTCTCATTTAGTTGTACACATTTAATTAAGCTTATTTTTTATTTAAATAGAAAGCATGATAAATGATTTAATATTAGTATTTGATAGCAAAATATAAATTTTTTTGTTATATAAAATATTATAGGAGATCATACCTTTTTTTAAATATTGTATCGTCATTTAGAAAAGGGACACATTATGGACACGTGTAGAAATAAAGCAATGTATCTTGACCTCTTCTTATTTATATATGTAAAATATAAAGTGATCATACTAAGTTTTACATTTTGTATTTTAAATTACTAAAAATGTCTAGCTGACAAATGGGTCAAACCTTGTAGGATGAATGATAGTGACAAGGTATATTTACAAATTCAATTACATTTATTTACAGTTTTTATGTATTTAAAGAAATATAATATCAATAATAATATTTAAAGACACTTAAGTATATTTTGACTTTTCATTAAATTAGTTTGTATGTAAACTATTGTTACAATGGGGTGTTTTATAAATCATAGGAAAAATGTATGATGACAATTAGCATGATATCCAAGTCGGCATAGTAGAATGATTTCTGAGGGATAATGTGACAAAGGCGGGATCAATGGTCCACTCACTCACTTTCCTTTGGCTTAGTCCCTGCTTTATCAGGGGTCACCACAGTGGAATAAACTGGCATTTGCTGGATCAATGGCTGATTTAATTTTTTTTTCAAAAAACATTTATTGATTCAGTGTATGATATTACTGATTCAGTTTATGACTTTACTGTTTAACTGTAGCAGTTCAGTAATCTACTTTTTCAGAAATAAAGGTACAAGAGCTGTCACTGGGGTGGTACCATTTCGAAAGGTGCATATTTGTACTTAAAGGGTATTTGTTGGTACCCTAAAATTTCAAGAGACACACTTTTGTACTTTTTAGGTGTTAATATGTGCCCTAGAGGTAATAATAAGGACCCTTTAAGTACAAATATGTACCTTTCAAAAAATGCCACCCTAGTGACAGCTCACCTACCTTTATTTGTGAGAATGTATAATAACAAAAAAAAAAAAATTAAATTGGTTAAAATAACACTTTAAAAAAAATGCAGGGTTCCACACAGTTCCTTCATGTTGTCCCAACATAAATCGATTAAGTTAACATAATTGCTTTTTTTTTTACAAACTTAAGTTTTACTTTTACAAATATAAGTAGAAATAGCAAAAAACATTTTAGTTGTCAAAAGAGAACCCAAGAATTGTGTTGATTCTGCTTATTTTAAATTAAGGTAGCAAAAATAATTTTTTGACTGAATGCTAAAAGTGCAGTAGGGGATCTGCCAAAATGCCAAAAACGGTTTAGCATAATATCTTTGATATACAGTCCAAAGCCACACCCCCTGAAACACGAACACACACACCTTAAAGATGACAGCAGACAACCCACTAGTTCATGTCATTCACCAGTTAGAAAACTTTACAATTCCGAACAAAAAACTGTATTATATCAGTTTTCAGTTGTGTACAGCAATCAAAACTTGTCATAATGGTATCAATCTGTCGTGTGC